TGCTCGCAGCAGCAGCAGCAGCAGCAGCAGCAGCAGCAGGGCGGCAGCAGACGCGGAGGCAGAAGCAGCGGCAGAGGCTGCAGCAGACTCCGGCTCTCAAGACCCCTGGAGAGTTGTCAAAGCAACAGCATGGGACTTTGGAGCTGCCGGTTGTATTACTTTCGCCGGCCCTTGTGAAGAGGAGCAGCAGCACGAACTGCAGCACCAGCACGAACTGCAGCACCACGAACTGCAGCACCAGCGCGAACTGCAGCACGAACTGCAAACGCAGCACCAACTGCAAAAGCAGCAGGAGCTGCAGCAGCAGCAGGAGCTGCAGCAGCAGCAGGAGCTGCAGCAGCAGCAGGAACTCGAACACAGGAAACATGAAGCCGAAAATACCCCCGTGACTACACGCCATAGTCACAGACATGCAACTGCAACTGCAACTGCAGCAGCAGCAGCAACAGCAGCAGCAGGTACTCCCAGTGGGGCGACGAATCTAGTGCATCAAGAACAGCAGCAGCAGCAGCATCGGAGGACGCAGCAGAGACACACCCCTTCGGCGGTGCATCGCCGTCGACATGCAGAAGAGCAGAGAGCTCAGCAGCAACTGCAGCAGCAGCAGCAACAGCAACAACAGCAGCAGCAGCAGCAGCAGTTACAGCTACAGATACAGCAACAGCAGCAGCAGCAGCAGCAGCTGGAAGAGCTGCAGCAGAGACGAATCGAGTTCGAGAAAAGGCTACAGCAGCAACAGCAGCAAGAACAGCAAATGCTGCTGTGGCAGCTGGAAGCACAAAAAATGGAGGCCCGGCTACTGCAGCAGAGGCAAGAAATGCAGCAGCAGCAGCTGCAGCAGCAGCTGCTGCAGCGCCGTGTTGCTGGAGTCGTGCAAAGACCCGACCCGCAGGAAGAAGCGCGGCTTCAAAGAAGAGAAGCCGAAAGACGCTGGCTGTCAGAAATTGTGGGGGATCAGCTGCAGCAGCTGCAGCAGCAAAAGCAGCAGCAGCAGCAGCAGCAGAAACAGCAGCAGCAGCAGGTGTTTGAGGACGCGGGCGCGTACGACGCCGCCCCGCATTTCCAGCAGGAAACCCAGAGGAAAGAAGATGCTGCTGCTGCTGCTGCTGCTGAGCTGCAGCAGCGGCAGCAAGAAATCGCGCTGCTGCTGCAGCACTTAAACCCCCAGGCGCGGCAGCGGCTGTTTGAGCTTGTGCGCGACAGGCTTGTGCAGCAGTAGCGCGTGTACGTACACTTGAATTCCTCGAGTTCCGCGCACATTTTATGAATTTCTTCGCATTTCCTTCTCATTATTTATACTATTTATCATTATTTATCATTGTTTTGCATTATTTTGCACTATTTATTTCATTTTCCATGTCTTGCATGCATGCACCGCGGGGTCCCGCGCCCCCCCGCCGCCGCCCAGGCAGCAGCTGATGTAATAGCTCGTTTTCACTCATTTATTTATTATTTATAATTAATTATTTATCTATTATCCATTTATTGTTCTGTTGACGCAGAAAGAAAGCAAATAGACCTGCAACAATAGCTTTTCGCGCTGCTGCTGCAGCGCAGCAGCAGGCCGTTGCGCCACCGCCGCCCTTTTATCCAAACATGAAATTCAAGAAAATAAAAATGAGTTAAAAGTGTTTTGATTTTATGTCTTTCTCCCGAGCTGTACATACACCCGGGCCCCCAACCCCTTTTTTCTCAACCTTATTTCAAGTTCTGCAGCGGCAGAGCACCAACAGCTGCAATTGGTATAGCCAATCACTCAATGTAATGGACCATTCAGGCCAGTGGTCTCCCGATTGTAGCAGCAACTCCAGCAAAACAAACACTCACAGAACTGCTGCAGCAAACAATGCCTCCGGTGCATGCAGCAAAACCCCACATATTCACAATAGATATGCTGATATACCACCTTGACTACAAAACTCGCACACGTACATTTATCTACCAAGCTTTGCGAAGACGGAACCTCAGCAGCAGCAAAAGACACCACGAAGAAGCCAAAGCAAAGACAGATACAGCAGCAACGAAAACAGAACATCCAGAGTCGGATTCGTTAGCCCCTAGAGGCCCCAGAAATTGCCGCCTTCCCGTGAGGGTCGGCGAACGGGAATTGGAGTAGTTTTCAACTAGCAATAATCGCGCATCCGCTAGGCGTCATATGCAGCGACATTGCCCCTTCCGCAAGGATGTCCGCCTGGCTGCAGCCAAGCCCCACCCGCCGCGGCCCCGAACCGCGCATAAGGGGCCCCGTTTTGTCGCCCTCCCCACCTCTCGGCGTTTAATTTGCTTTTGTCTTTTGTTTCGATGCAGTTTAAAACCTTCCGCGAGAAAACACACCCAGGATTCGCCGAGATCCGGCGGAAATTGCATGCAACACAGCTGCCTAGACACACCAAACACACACCCGCTGCTGCTGCTGCGCCCGATGCCGCTGCTGCGGATTTAATCCCTTTCTTTGTTTTTTTAAATTTGTTTTTATTATTTTTATTTTAGTTTTAATTCAAATCTGAACTTCAAGACTTTCCAGGACTCCAGCCGCCCACTGGGAATGCGCAGCAGCTGGGGAGGCGCACCCACTCAGGGCACCCTCATCCCACTTGGGTTTCACTTGAACTTCATTTGATGAATTAATTCGAATTTTTATTTTAATTTTAAGTTAAAATTAAATAATTGTAGGCCCTCGGCTGCGGCGCTCCGGCTGCAGCTGGACAGAGAGAGGAGCCCTTCCTGCTGCTGCGCTGTTGTTGCTGCTCCTGGTCTGCTGCTGCTGCTGCTGCTGGTGCGTTGCTGCTCGGCTTTTGGGGATTTCGGCATTTATTTGAATTATAATTCCAAAGCCCCTTTGCATGCAGCTGGAGAGTCCGGCGAAACTCCAGAAAGAGCCCTAGAGGCTCCGGCGCTGCACTGAGTGACCAGTGGACTTGTGCAGATTTTGCATTTTGGGATTTTCCAAAAGCAATTGGGGCAGTGGTGCTGCGTCTGCGGTGTCTGGACACTGCCGCTGCAGCTCTGCATGCAGGAAATGAAAGAAAGAAAAACAAAAAGACATCCTGTCTATTGCTGCATGCATGCGGGGGAAGAGCAGCAGCAGCAGAGCGCGAAAACGCGGAAGCAAAGGAAGCGCAGCAGCGCCAGTTGTGTGTACACCTCAGCGCTGCTGCAGCGCCCCAGCCGTCGCCTCGAAGCAGCACTTAACTGCAGCAACTCTGCAGCATTTTAGCAAACAAACTTCACAAACTTTTAGATAATAAACAGTAAAGGGGGCTGGGCCTTCAAAAGGCTTCTCATGAGAACAAAAAAGGGAAAAAGCAGCAGCAGCAGCAGCTCTGCTGCTGAGCAGCTTGAGCAGGTCCCCTGGGAGTATGTACGTACAGCAGCGCCGAAGCAAGCAGCAGCAGAAGGCGAAAAATATTATTTTAATTCTTTCTAGAAAGAATTTCATTTTAGAATGGAATTTTAATTCCAAGTTGGCCATAAAACACAAAAAGAATGAAAACTAATTAGTTCAAGAGCTCTAGCAAAAGCGCTGCTGCTGGTCCTGCAGCACCAACAGCACCAGCAGCAGCAGCAGCAGCACCAGCAGCAGAATCTGTCCTGAAGTAACGAAAAAAGCGTTTAAAATGGCGTAAAAAGGAGCAGCAAGGAAACGCTGCATTTAGAAGAAACAGAAAAATGAATAAAGAGAAATAAAAGAAATAAAAGAACAAAAATATAAGAAATAAAAATAAAATAAGAAAAATAAAAGCTGCCGGTAGGGCGGTGTGTCCGAGTGGTTAAGGAGATGGACTTGAAATCCATTGGGCTCTGCCCGCGCAGGTTCGAACCCTGCCGCCGTCGTTCTAAAAACTAACCCGAAAAGAGCTCCTTTTGGAGGGAAAAAACGCATGCATGCGTCGAACAATATAAATTAATTATTAATTCCTTTATTTTGGCTTTTATTTCGAAGATTTCGTTGAAAAAAACGGAGAAAAATGCAAAATTGAACTGCGCGCCCAACGCCTGTGCTGTCTGCTTTTTGCTGCTTCTTCTGCATTCATATTCATTTACTTTTTATTTTGATTTGTTTTAATTCATTTTTATTTATATTTGATTATTTTCATTATAATTTACTCTTATTTGTTTATATTTGGCGTTTTGCATTCATTCTGTACTGCGGGTATGCTTTGCTGCTCTTTGACTGTCTTGTATGTACAACAGCAGCAGCAAATGCCTAGATAAGTGAATAAGAAAATAAATAAATAAGTAATAAATAATAAATAACAAATAGTAAATAAATAAATAAAGAAATAAATAGGAAAGTAAATAATAAATATATGAGCAGACTGGCAAATAAACTACAGACAATGAAGAAGTGCTGACGAAGAAACGGCTGCGGCAGGGCAAATAGAATTATAAAATAAATAAATCAATTAATTAATTAAAATAATAAGTTAATATTTATCCGGACCAAGTACTCCCTAATCAACCTTATGCTGCTGCTGCTGCTGCTGCTGCTAGTGCCGTAGCGTCTGCTGCAGCTGAAGTAACCCCCGGCAGCCGCAGCCCCTGCAGCAGCGCACGCTTTCAAGCAGCATAAGCAGCAGCCGCTGCAGCAGCAGCTGCAACAGCCACTGCAGCAGCAGCCCCTGCAGCAGCAACCACTGCAGCAGCAACCGCTGCAGCAGCAGCAGCAGCAAACGGGTTTATACTTCATCTATTAAATCAAAAGGATCTATTGGGGGAAAATCCCCCACAGTGACTTCGCTGGGGAGCGCAAAGTCTCCATACTTATCTCCGTCGCACTCAAACAGCCGTTTGCTGCTAAACACTAGCCGCCCTCGTGCTGCTGCTGCTGCTGCTGCTGCTGCTGCCCCTGCTGCTGCTGCTGGCGCCCCCACGACGCGGAAGTCGCGGCCGTCCGTGTGCCCTAGGGGCTCGTCCAGAGCCACGCCTAAGCAGACACGCAAACCCTAAACCCTAAACCCTAAACCCTGAACCCTAAACCCCAAACCCTAAAACCCTAAACCCCAAACCCTTGAATAGCTCAAACGACAGGTATTTCGCCAGTCAACCCGCTGCAGCGGGAAAAAGGAACTACAGGCGAAGCAGCAGCAAACAAATGAATAAGAAAATAAAAAGAAAGAATAAATTAAAAGCATTTATTTTATTTACCTATCCATATTTGGCCCTCCTGCTGCGAAGGGCGAACGCCCACAAAAGCTATTTGCCCGCGGCGGTCCCCAGGCAGCTGAAAGCAGCAGCAGCAGCAGCAGCAGGAGCAGCAGGAGCAGCAGCGAACTACACCGCAGCAGCAGCCATAGA